TATAATGAGATGAAGATTAAGTAGTGAGGAAGCTGGAACTAAGGAAAATTAAGGAAAGGAAAAGGCCGTTGAACTAAATGTAAGGTTAGTGAAGAAAATGCATGTTATAGATTCTACACTTATTAGAGATGAACTATAAATTCGGTTCTGAGCTTCCTACCAATCAAAACAAAGAGAAAAAATGTGAAAATGGGATCCTTTCTATTGTCAAAGTATCTATAAACAAAACAGATTGTTTCTTTAGTAATTGAACATTTATTTATTTTTATCTTTGTTGACAGTATTATAGTTGTCCTCCCTTTTCCCCATTGACCCCTTCTAGTCCAATCCCCTCCCTCTGCCCCAGGCCTTCACCATACTATTGTCTGTGTTGGGTTATGCATCTATGCATACAAGTTCTTTGGATAATCTCTTCCAACCCACCCACCCATGCCTTCCCTCTGAGATTGGACAGTCTGTAACACAGATTATTTTGAAGAACACCTGAGAGAAATGTATCTAGAGGTTTTCCTAATTGATACCTAGTTCTCACTGTCCCTATATAACTGTCCCTACAGAGGCCATTGGAATAATGTCAAAACAGAGGTCAGCAAAACATTTGGTATCATGTAGGAACAATGTCTCATGCTTAATTCTCATCTTCTGCTTACTCCAAAGATCTGGAGGAATCAATGCTGTGGTTATCCTTTAAGAAAACCTCCGTGTTTCTTACTTCTCTCAAATGAGCATTAGTGTGCAAAGGGCATCAGACATTTTGCAAATCGGAGACCGCTCTAAACTAGCAGAGAATGAGTAGACTTTAATTGGCAAAGTCAACCTCCCTTTCATCTCTTCTAATGAACTGAATATTTGTACTCCCCACCGAATTCATATGTTGAAACCCTAACCCCCTAATTTGATGATATTTGAAGATGAGGTTTTGGGAGGTGACTAGGCTATGAGGGTGGAGCCCTCATGATGGAATTAGTGCCCTTATAAGAAGAGGCAGAGAGAATTTGCTTTCTTCCTCTGCCTGGTCTCTCATTCCCTTCTTATGCCAAGTGAGGATACAATGAGAGGGCAGCTGTCTACCAGCAGGAAGCAGGCTTTCACCAGACACTGGATTTGTCAGGGTCTTTATTTCTTAGTATGTTTTCTTTTTTTTAAATTGATTTCAGAGAGAGGAAGGGAGAGGAAGAGAGAGAGAGAGATAGAAACATTGATGAGAGAGAAGCATCAATTGGCTGCCTCCTGCACTCCCTCTACTGGTGATCAAGCCCCAAACCTGAGCATGTGCCCTAACCAGGAATTGGCCCAGCAACCTCCTGGTGCACGGGTCAATGCTTAACCACTAAGCCATACTGGCCAGGCTCTGCCAGGGTCTTGATCTCAGACTCCCAGCCTCCTTAGTTGTAAGAAATAATATTTGTTGTTTAAACCTCCCAGTCTATGGCATTTTTGTTCTAGCACCCCAAACTTCTTATCTAATAGTTTTGTGCTAACAGAGTGAAGTAGATCATGAGGAAATGAAGATCAGAAATAGAGAAACAAAGTGACAACTGTCGTTTATCTGGGAGTATGCAATTTTTTTTTTAAATTTTTTGTTTTTTGCTTTGCTACATCTGTATCTGAAAATCTGTCTTCCAGGTCCTCAGTTACTCTCGATAACATATTTAAAGCAGTGACATAATCCCTTTCAAGGGACAAGAGGGGAGAGGTTGACTTTAAGTAAATTGGGTTGTCAATAACTCAAAATATGATTTTTCCTTTAGTGTTAAGTATTGTAAAAAACAGGTTTCAGGAATCAGTATTAAGTAAAGTAATATTGTACATTTTCTACAATTTAGGAATTAAAGAAACCTCTGAATAGCATAGAGTTCATTTCTTATAAAGCTTCATAAGAAAGGTTTTCTAGAACTCATAAAAACTGAGAAGACTTGATGCATCATATGTAGCTATAATTTGTAGCTATATTTCACTAGTATATTTGAAATATTGTTTTCCTTATAAAAGTCATACTTGTTCACTGGAGAACAATGCATGTTATAGACTCATAGAAAAATATAAAGAAGATAACAAAGGTCACCTCAATAATTTCACCTGGATTACCCACTGTAGAAATTATACTGTTTAAAACTAGGTTTTTCTATACATACATATTCACATAATTGTGATTATATTTAATTTACTTGGAATTGTATTGCATTTTGCCCTGTGTCATGAGAAGTCCCTTGTAAACATCATTTTTCATGACATGTAATATCCTAGTGAGTAAGTGCCTCCTAATTACTTAGCCATTTTCTATCATGAGTTCCTTTATAGTTGGGGATTTGGAAACAAATCATGCTAAATCACTTTGAATTTTGTACCTTGTCTCTGAAATCTTGGCAAGCTTGACCCCTATTCCAGTCCCCCTGTTTGAGGGGGCCCCCACACTTTGGAATGCCTTTCTCAAAATTTCTAAGTACCCCTTTATTGTCTGAGATCAGGCCAGGCCAGTAGCCAGACTCCAGCCTCATAGGCTGCAATCTATGCAGTCACATAGAGCCCCAAG